CCCCTCCCCGGCCCGGCCCAGCCCGGCCCCCGGCCCGGCCCCCGCTCCAGCCCGGCCCCGGCCCGCCGCGCGGCCGCCGAGCCTCGCCGAGGGGCCCCGAAGCTGCTCTCGCAAGGGAAGAGGGGCATCTTCTCTCCCAGCGGCCCGCTCCACCGCCCCACCAGGCCCGGTTATTCCCTGTCCGTCCTCTCCCCCCTCGCCCCCACCGCTGTGTTTAAATAGGCAACTAGATCTACACGGACACAATAATTAACTTGTTTTGTCTTTGGCATTTTCTACAGGAACCCCAAGCGATGGACCTTCCACCCCCGTTCCTCCTCTAAAACTGGCCCCCTTCATCTCTGTCTGTCCAGGCCCAATTACACAGATCCTTGGGGTTCCAATAGGACCTGAGTCATCGGAACTACGAACACCTGGCTGAAACATGCTATATAATTAGAAAGAATTTTGCTTTTCTTTACCTCTTGTTTCTTTTCCTTTTTTTCTTTCTTTTAAAAAAAAATTTATTTATTTTTAAGGCTAGAAATAGCCTCCTCGCCTGGGGCGGAGAGGAAAACCTTCCCGCCAGGCCGGCCTCCGCGCCCGCGGGCTGATCTCCAGGCTTCCCGCGCCCGCCCGAGCCGGACTCGCTTCCTTTCCTCGGCCTCGCGGCCTCCTCCTCCTCCGATCGTTTATTCCTCCCCCCACCGTCTTCTCTTCGGTTTAATTAAAGTTCAGCGACTCCACTTGCCCTTCCTCTCCTCTCGGTTCTCTCGGAAAGCGGAAACCAGACGGCCCAGCGGCCACGGGCCTAGCGGCTCCAGCACAACGCCGGCCTGCCGCCCGCGGGGCCTCCCCGCGCCGCCTCCCTCCGCCGGAGGGGCCTCCCGGCCCGGAGCCCCTGCCCCTCCAGCATCCTGCAGGTGTGCAGCTGCTGGCCTGGGAGAGCTGAACGCGGGGCTGGGGTACGAGTGTCCTGTCTTCCCCTAGACCCCCAGGCTTGTTCCAGAAAGTTTGGAGGGTGGGTACACCCCGACTCAGGTAACCCGCTCCCCCAAACCCATGGCTGACTAATCTGATATGACAGAAGCGCGTGATGGATTTGGTCTATGTTAATTCACAATGCCCTTTCCTCCAGAATTTAACTATAAGTTAATACACACCGGAAACCACGCGCATACACGCTCGTTAATGGGCTTAGGTATTAGCGAGTCCTAACGATGCATACAAATGTGCTCTGCGCTCTGTAGGCCCCTCAAGATTTATGGGCCTTGAGCTCTCTGAAGCTGTAAACAAGGAGAAAAAAAAGAGAAAGAGAGAGACTCGGGGAAAAAGACACAGGCCTGACTCACCCCTCCAGGTTGTGGGAGAGAAGAAATCTCTGCAAGTGGGTCCTTATGTTTTCCTTTCCTTACACGCTCGTGTGCGTGGGTTTTGGTATCGTGCGGGGGTGGTGTTTGCGCCTGAACGCTGGCGTGCGTTGGCAGTGTGGTGTTTGGTGCTGGGGCAGGAGGCCGCACGCAGGCCTGCCTCCTGTGAGCTGCTGCGCAGGGGCCTGAACATAACAGGCGTTTGTGGGCATATACCTGGGAGTGTGTGCGTGCACGTGTGACAGGCAGGCCTCCCTCTGGGCCTGGCTGCTGTCCCCTGAACCCGGTGAACAAATCTCTGACAACAATCATAATAACAATAAAAAATAAATAACAATAAAAACAGTAGTTAACAGTCCCTCCCTAGCAGGGTAACAATAAAATGCAGGAGGAGGTATTTTGATGCGGGGACACGGAAGGAGTCAGGATCACAGCATCTGAGGGGAAGACAAGAAAGGAAGGAAGGAAGTTAGCTTCTTCATATGCCCTTGGGGGCTGAGTTTGGGAACCCCTCCCCAGATAGGGTCCTCCGGCCAGAGGACGAGAGGGAGAGCCAGCAGGCCACTCGGTCCTGCTTCTGTTTCTTCTGCTTTTGCTTTGTGCGATCAGGGGAAGGACCCCGCATACGGAGGTAGTTAGGAGCTTTGGGGACGCTCTGGAGCCCCTGTTTTAAAGGGGAGGCCAAGCGTGCAGAGTCAGGCCGAGGGGCAGAGATGAATGAGGCGATGACCACAGCCGGGCCCGGCCGGCCTGGCGGCAGAGATGCCCCGGAGGACGAGCTGCGGGGCAGAGACGCGAGCAGAAAAAAACGTTTATGGCCGCCCGAACGAGGGGCGAGTGAGGCCGGGGCTCCGGGAGGCCCAGGGAAAGTTCCCTTCCTGGGGTCTTTTCTAAAAAAAAAAAGACAGAAGGGAGGGGTTGAGTCGAGGCACGTAGAATTTTCCTTCGCGGGCTTGGAGCGGAGCGGATTTCCATAAAGGAAGAGAAGACCACGGTCCCGGATCCTTCCACGTCCGCCTCATTCTCTCCAGGTACAATTTTCTGAGAATCGTCTTAATTTATTTCTTTGGGGGAGGTGGACTCAGAGGTGTAGAGACAAGACGCTCGCTGGAGACGAAGGCGCCCCACAGTTTCGGGTCTAACGAAATCCTTCCCCCCCCCCCCACTTCCAAAACAATTGTATTCTAAAAAAAAGCAAAGAGGAAATATAAAAACATAAATTAGCCAACTTTTTAAAAGAAAATGGCCCTAACAAATGAGCGTGAGAACTTTTAAAAGATTTAAATCACAAACCTTTTCAGAGGTTTGGATTCTTTTTCAACAGCCGGTGACCCATCTGGTCTGAAAAGAGACGGAGAAAGACACTCTCCACTGAGTCACTTCGTCAAGACCAGCGCACACGGCGAAAGAGAACCGCAGGCGCCCTCGCCTTTGAAAACCACACGGGGCGGAGGACGCCACGATAACGAATCGGACAAAATAACAATAAAATAACAATAAAATAACACCGGCGGCAGCGCAGAGGGCAGGACGCGCCGAGAGGGCCCGGGGCCGGCGTTCCAGGCGGCCGCCGGGCGAGGCAGCGGCCCCCGGCGATGGGGCGCCGGGCCGCCGGGCACCGGCTGGCGAGCCGCTCGGTCTCGGCCTCCCCAGCCCGGCCTGTAGACCCCTTCTCCCCGGCCTCCGCGCCCCTCCTGCTTTCGGCTCGGATGCCCAGTCGGTCGGGGTTTCCCTGGTGCGCGAATCTGGGGCCTCCGAGGGGGCAAAGTGACTCAAGCCCGACTCCGCTTCATTTTTCTCCCTAGGCCTCTCCGCTCGCGGGAGCTCTCAGCTACCGGGAGCCCGCCACGCAAGGGGCTGCTGGGCGGCCCGCCACCCGCTCCCACATGGTTCCCCAAAGTCCAGCGACCTCCAGTCCTCCTTAGGGGAAAATATCAGTGCACAGCCACCTCTGCGTCCTCACATATGTGACCGTGCTCGCTTCAAGAATATCTTACGAAGAAGAAGAAAAGCCGGCTTAGAGCCGTTTCCATCCAGTTCTAGTGATCCCTTCGCATCTGGAGAGTTTATTTATAACTCCCACTATAACTCTCTCTGTTTGGAGGCACTGGTGTCTATTGACAGACTGATGTCTAGAAAATATTGCTCTGGCTCTGACCGTACCTAAATGTGCTGTGGTTGTGTTCACAGATTTATGCTTCAGGAAAATATAATTATTTCCATTGTATTTGTGTGTATACAATAGTTATAGGAGCAGATTTATATATGGGAAAATATACGGCTCTCTTATAGCCATCCAGCTTTATGGACATTTGATTTCCTGACAGATTTATGTCTCTTAGCAGCTATATAGATAAATGTATATCGTTGGAATTATGTATCAGGAGATATACACTTATTGATTGTGATATAGGGTAGTTAGGGCATTCACTTAGAGCCATATATGGCTTTGGAGATATTTCTATATTATTATCACTATATATAGGCATATCTATTTATAACTACATAGTTATAAAAATAGACGAAAGTAATTATAGTCCTATATGTACATGCTGTGCGCTCTCTCTAGAGTTATGGACACTTGTGAATATAACTCTATAGAGATATCTGTATGTATATAAGGGTGTAATTATCTCGTGATGTGTGTGTATTGGGGCTTAGGCCAGTCTATCTCTTTACAGACATATTTATTTATATGTGGGGGCCGAGAGAGACTTGTTCACGGAAATATGTCGAGGGCCCACTGAAAAGCTGTGTCTGGCTATCTAGGAAACCAGCTAGCAGAGTTCTTTATTTATGGAGGGATGGAGTTACCTAAAGGGTAAACAGAACACAGGAAGCCTTGAGGAGAGGAGGCACACGGAGGTGACTAGGGTTCTCAGGAGCAGATAGGGAGGAAAGGAGGACCCCCAGTGCCCACCCAAAGGCGGGAACTGGTTTTGTGAGGGGCTGCTGCAGACGGGGCGTGGGTCTTTCGGAAGAGGAGTCAGAGAACAGTCCTGCAACCCAGAGGTGCTCTGCACTGCAAGACAGGTCGGCTACTGCCCAGCCCCTTCCGCATTCCTAGCGCATTTCTTAAACCCTACTTTTGGGGTCTCAAAGAGTGGACTTCAGAGGTGAAGAGATTTAGGAGGGACAGAGCGGGGAGTGGGGTACACTTTCACTGGCGCTGCTCTGTTGTAATATGGCCAGGAAAGCGAGGTAATGTGGCCAGATAAAGCTTGCTTTCACCTGTGCCCTTGGGGGGCCATTTGGTTGGGACTGGGAGCCTGGTGGGTTGAGGGGTGAATTTTAGACTGTTGGGCCTATTCTGATGGGGGCTTCAGGAACATTTTCCCGCCATCTTTCTGGGAGGCCTGGGCCTCAGGGACCTAATTCTGCTCCCTTGGGCCACTCCTTGTCTGTTGCTTCCCAAATTGGGGTTCCTTCTTCTCTGGGTACACAGGGGCCCCTCCAGCTCCCGAACAGCCCTGCCCTGGGCCTTTACGGGGAGAATTTAACTTTAACGAGCAGGGAATATGGATCTGATCGTCTAGATCTCACTTCTCCACTCACATCTACACGGCTCTCCCACCAGTCCCTACCCGGAGCCCCTGGGCCCAGGCTCCACAATTCTTCCCCTGCCACCAACCATCCCAGGAGAAAAAGACACCCCCAAGCCAAGTTCCTTTTTTGTTGTTGTTTGTTTTAAATCAGGGAGTCACAGACATCTTTGCTGAATGGTTTGTGTGAGGAAGTTTCCCTGCACTGTCACAGCAGCCAGCCCAGCTTCCACGATCTCTAGGATGCTGGAAAGAAGTGGAGACCCCTGGGCTGGGGTTAAATGCCCAGTGCCACTCACCACCCACCCCTGCCCATGAGATTGGAGCTTCTCCAGGGCAGGAACTCTATCTGCTGCCTGGCACAGAGGGGTGGCCCCAATACCTACTTGTTGAGGTAACTGAATGGCAATCAATCCAAAAGCTTTTGGCAGAGGGAATCTTACCTTCCTCGGGCACCACTGGCTAGCAGGCACCTGGATACCCGGGCTGGAGCCAGGTGAGAGATCACATGGCAGCGGGCTCTGGTAGAGCAGCTCGAGACCAGGATGGGGGCAGGTGAGGGGTGGGATGAGGCATCTGGAGCCAGGAAATGGGGGAGGGGGCAAGGCAGGCTCTGCCTCCCCCTGTGCCTCTTCCCCTCACCTCAGCCCCCTGGCTTGCCAGACCTCTAAGTATACGAAAACTAAACCGGAGCCGAGACCAGGGCTGGGAAGGAGCTGCCTGTCCACCTGAGGGGCCCGAGGAGGAACCACCACTTGGTGGTCCATTGAGAAATACACAAATGGAGCCAGCCAGTGGCGTGATGGTGAAGTTCCATCGCTCTGCCTCGCGCCGGGGTTTGCGGGTCCGGATCCCTGGAGTGGACCTACACACCACTCATCAAGCCATGCTGTGGCAGTGTCCCAGGTACAAAATAGAGGTAGATTGGCATAGATGTTAGCTCAGCGACAATCTTCCTCACCAGAAAAAGGAGAAAGAAATACACAAATAAAACAAAAATAAATCAACGAGAGACAGCCAACCCAGCCAAAGGACAGGCCTCTCTTCAACCTTCAGCCCTGCCCCAGGGATGCTACCAAACGGATCAGAATTAATGTTTAAGAAAATTTTTTTAACTTTAAAAAGCTCCCAAATTTTCTGATCCAGTCACACCCCCTAATCGGGTTATTTCAAATAGTTATTTTTTTTGTTGTCGTTGTTCCCCCAATTCGGTCCCTGTAGAATAGTTCCTTCCGGGAGCTTGGGGACAGGCGGGTCACTGTCAGTGAATAGGGCGAGACAGGCAGGTTCGGAGTTTTCCTGTCCGGTGAGGATCCTGTTCTATAGAGAAGGGACGGCCTTCCCCTCTCCCATCAAGACGGATCCGGGAGAACTCCCCCACATTTGGTTCCTTGTTCTGCTAAGGATCTTTAGAGGCAGTCTGCCCTGTGTCTGGGTGAGGGACTGAGGTCCAGAGAGGGGCTAAGTTAAACCTGGAATCTCATTTCTAGTCGCCCAGCTTTTGAGAATTTCCTCCTCAAACCCCCATCCCTCCCCTCCCCCAACACCTAATGCCTACAGGGCTGGTGGATGCTTTCCCTAAAGAAATGCAGGGAGGGGGCAGGCAGGGGCCTGCATTTACATATGTTTGCCTAAGCGGGACTCAGGGCAGGTGTCTGGGCTCAGGCCGGGACGTAGAGGGGACAGTGGCTGTAAACCTCCGAACCTGTGGGGTTCAGATAACGCCTGTCCGCAGCTATAGGGCAGAAAATGAAGAGACACTGGCCATACACTGTGGAGCCTAGAGTGTCCTGAGCCCTTTTACCTGGGCTGGAATGGCTCTTAGCTGTTTCTGAGTCCCAGACCCCTTTGAGAAGCCGATAAAAACAATCTGCCCTCTCCCCAGCAAAATGCACAGACAGTGTTGTTGACAGTTCCTGGCATTCCACGGGCCCAGAAGCCCAGGCTCTCTGGGTTGAGTATCCCTAATTTGTATATTTTCCCTTTCTTTCTGTGACCCGTCCCCAGTTGTCTGCCTTTGCCTTTGCCCTCCCTGAGTCTCCTTGCTTGGGAGTCAGGAAGTTCCTCCCCAGGGATAAGCCCTGCCAGCCCTGGCAAAGCTCTCTTCTTTCTTTCCCTTGCTAGAGCAGGCACCAGGCAGAGGCCCTGCGTGCTGATGCTCAGCTCCCGATCTGCTCTCCAGCGGAAACCAGGAGACTGGCTGTTAGCTGAAGCCTGGTCCACACTGCACAATTACTCCACTCATTCCTGAGGGTGGGGGAGTCTGGGGGCACATTGGCAGCAGTGGAGGCCTGGCTGAAAGGGGACCAATTCCCATCTCTAGCGGAAACTTGGATGCAAGGAGCAAGTTGCAATTGCTATAATAGTCATAATAATAACAATAATAATTTATTTAGCATATCATTAGATGTGTATTTACTGTCTTCCCTCTGTTTTTCCACAAGTGTCTCTTAAGGAATTCTCACAACACCCAGGGGAAACAATAATAAGCTAATTACCACCCTTCAGCTCCTTCTCCTCCTCCCATCCACGAAGTCGCCTTCTCAGAGATGGAGGCTTACAGAACCCCTCCCTATGTTTACACCTGCTTAGCACAGTCTCCCCACTCCCAATTCTCCTGTCTCATTCCCAGTTTTTTCCATCCCTGTTAAGGAAATTTCCCCACAATTTAGAAGAGGAAAGGTTAGGGAGGAGAGTAGTTGGGGCCCAGAGATCTGTAGCTATTAATATTATTTCCCTGATATCACAGCAATATTTAGGATGTGTGGTAGGAAACAAATGCCTCCTTCTCTGATTGCTCTTTGTGGGGCAGAAACTGCTGCACAGCATTTAGAGGCAGATCAGGTTGGAGAGAGGACTTGTGCCACCACGATGCCAAGACATCTGAGTCAACTGGAGGAGTATGGCCAGTCCTGCAAAGGTAGCATCCACACCAGTGGCCTTCAGATTGTTCAGTCCAGACCTCAGAGATGCCAGGCCCCACATGTCTCATTGGCCTCTTTGGCAAGGGAAAGAGAAGGAGAGGAGGGAGGGAGGGAGGGAAGAAGGAAGGAAGGGAGGGAGGGAGGGAGGGAGGAAAGCAGGAAGGAGGACATATGAGTGTATGCGTGTATATATATAAATTTATATATACATGCATATTCACACCCATATTTTTCTTGAGTGAATAACCATGACAATGGTTATACTTCTTAAAATATTCATTTCTTTGCACTTTTAAATAGAAATTCTATCTTCTCAGAGATTATAATTAAAACACAAGCCAGAGACATGTTTCTGGGTGACAGATTCTGGGTGGACTCTTGGACCACCTAAAAGGCCCCCGGAGTCCCAGTGATCTGCAGAGCACACTCTTAGCTACTCATTTCCTTGCCCCTGCCCCAGGTGGAGAACTGTAGCCGGGGTTGTGATAGTCTTGGTCAGAGACTGAGCTGCCTGGCCTGCCATCGAGATCCTGGGTGTTGCTGCTTCGACTACCCAGACACTGAGGTCAGCTCTTCACCTCTCTGCCCAAGTACACAACTGCTCCTGGGAAGAAGTAAGTCTGGACTGCAGGTGTAAGACCTAGGTAGAGTCAATATCAAGAAGAACTGGAAAAGAGAATTGAATACCGTTCTAAGCTCTCTAAACCATAGATGGCATAGTTGATATTTTGGTGGGTCCCATGGCCCATTTCGTGTCTTTT